ACACCATTTAGGGGAACTTCATAACACAACATACATGTGCAAGAATTTGTGACAATGGAGAGGTTTTGTCTGTTGAAGACAGAATCAAACCAGAGTACCAAAGCCACTTTTTAATTCAGATTGTGAAGAACATAAGGACTTACATCTATTTCTTCTGGAACACTGTGTGATTTCATAGATGAAAGAAGTTCCATTACAGGAATGACTTCTCCTGTCAGCATTGGAATGATGCTCTGGCCCTGCACAATAAAGAATATTGAATTAAAATTACATTGTGAAGTACTTTATTTGTAACATGAACTTGCAATATTACATGCAAAACACCTTTAACTTCATATTGTTTGGAAGTGTGGTATGAGTTGAAATTTGCCTTTCTTTGTCAGTAATTGCAAACTGGAAACATACATTTTGCTTCTCAAGCTCATGCCTAAAATGTATTTCCAGGGTCCTATGCTCATTTTCACAATCAGTCTGATTGATCTTGACAATAAGTATTTGGAGTGAGATGCTTTGATTATACCATATTATGTGCAAATAATGTTAAGCATTTTAGATCCAATTCTGATATTTTAACATTAAAAGAAAACCAAAACCAGGCATATTAGTTATTAACATAGAAAATTATTTATCTGCTTTATCACAAAAAAACAAAAGCCATAAATTCATATTTAGTTTCAGAAATAAAATTCTTTACATAGTCTTATCCATCAGGTCTCTAACCACATTCCAACATGACAGACTCTGTATGTCTCTGTAACTTGAAAACGTTAACGACCTAGTGAAAAACCATCCTTGAAAGGAGGTGAGCATGAATCTATTGAAGCTACTACCTCTACACAGCTTCGAGTTCAAGTAAATGACTTTCCATTTCTGAAAGGTAATATTCTTCACAGATTTCCACTTTACCCATAAAGCGATGAAACATATTTTCCTTCAAGTTGTTCACAGCTTCCATCATTCTATCTTCAGAAACTGCCTTCTGTGCATGGCAGGTCATCAGCCAGTCCAAAGTATCTTCCTGGATCCCAAAAATAAGAAGCAGCACCAACTTCTACAGTCACCAGATGCAATGACATAGTTTTGTGGTGGTGTGCCATATGCATCAAGACGGTCCTTACCTGATCCTCCATTCTCTCCGTGCCTTCCAAGACAATCTTCTGGAAATGTTCTTGCCTCTCCTGAGCAAGAGAAGCAGTTAAATATAAATGCTCTGATATTTGTTTATATATGTATGCACACAAAAGTCAAATGGTACAGTTTCTTCCCTGTGGAGGCACGCTTCCAAGATTCAAATTTTGATGTTCGAGTCTTTTTTCTTTGACAGAGTTGACATGACTGGGAATTTTAAACAGATCAATGCTCCCTGCTCTGCCCCCCACCAAACCTCTCACGCGGTTGGAAAGGAGTTGCAGGGAAAAGGGTGTGATGACAATGACGAAACACTGTTTCTTCATTACAGAGTAAGAAAATGTCAAATTATCAAGATTATGGTCCAGAATTCCACTCTTGTATGGATTTTTATTTTCAAATGGATATGGTACAGACTGATGGCTCCTGATGCAGCAAAGGAAAAATGAGATCTTCTGAATGAGAAAAATTGTTTGGGAAGGGTAGGAAAAACAGGACTTTTTATTTTTCCCACATCTTCAGACACTCGTATGTCTTCAAAACATTGTTTTATAACCAACTACAGAAGACATGAAACCTCAAAATACACAAAACACCATGTATAAGAGACTGGACAAGGTTCTCAAAACAGACTCATCAGCAATTGAGATGTAAACTGCTTTCATAATGCAACATACAAGGGACTCAAGTTTTCACAAAGAGAATTTGGCATTAATCACTGGAAAAATCAATACACACAAAAAACGGAAGATGTTGTGAGAACTAATCTTTTGCTAGATGCTGACAGGTTATTGTATTTTTATTGGTTACTCATGTGTTCCCTTTGACTGAAGTAATCAACTTCAAGCGGGAAAACAGCTTACAAAACTTCTTTTTTTAGCAGAAAATAGGGAACAAGCTACAGGAACTTGCTCTAAAACAGTTACATAACTTGTCTAACCATCGAACAGAAGTATCTGGGAAAAAAAATACTGCAATGTGGCAGATTCCTGCAGGGTATCTCCATCCTTGAGTTCAGTGTCAGTGAAGATATCTGTGACATCGAAGATCGTTTGCTTTGAAAGAAGTCAGTCTTCATAAAGATAAGGCTGAACAAAAGGTGTAAGCCACTTCCTTTCAGAAAAGTAACTGCTTAAAACTATAACAAACATCTGGAACATGAAATTGAAGATGATAAAAGTGGCTTCTAATCCCATATATAGTCGACTTCCTTGGAGATGCTTGCCTTTCTTGGCCATTTTAAACACTTTTCCATTTTTCTCCTAGTCCTTGAGTTCAGAAGGTTTCTTCTCTTCTATGATCTGGCTGGAACTTCTGTCCATCTCTACAAAGAACTCATGAGAGCTGATAGCCACAAGCATTAGAAATTCCAGAACAGATAGACAGTTCCTTTCAGATACAACTTCAAGATTTTTTTGCTCAGTTGTAGCCATAGTTGCTGAACTGTCTCAAATTGCAAACTACAAAATGAATTTTAATTCAGCTTTACCGTTCTACAACTCATGGCTAAATTTTAATCTACATTTTCAAAGCATTTTTTTGTCTTCTAGTTAAGGTTTCAGACAATAAATGTATATTTTGGAATGTATCACTGTCTCAGCTAACTCAGTTGATCTATCTGCTTCAAAGTCTTCTGAAAATGAGTGAAGAGCGTAACAAATTATTTCTAAGGGAACTAGTAAAAAACTGTTGCTCTCAAAGCCACTTGAAGACTATTTCTGCTGTGGAAACATACTGATACAGATCAATGACCAAAAAGTGAGAAGGCACAGTTAAGAATGATAGACAATTCTTATTTGACCACTCACATTAAAAGTCAATACAGAGAAATGGCAGAGAAGCAATAGAGTCAAGAACATGAGATAGCACTCAAGTCAAAGGAACTAACATTCAGCAGGCTTTTAGAAGACCCAATGAAGAACAAAATGTTTGTGTTTCTATGGTATTGAAAAGAAGCATTATGTCCTAGCCTTCCTCTGAAAAATCAGAGGTACCGAGTGACAACACCATGGACAACACTACCAACCATCATCAGGCAATACAGCAAAAAACAGCAGTGTTTATGGAGCAAAAGGGAACACGACCACAAAAATTAACATCAGCAGATGATTTCTTCAATTCTAGTTTAGATTAAAAACTCTCAAAATGGCAATTTCATGTATGTTGACTAGAGGATTCAAAACAGAAGAGGAACAAAAGCTTTATCAGACAAACATGCATCACCATACACATTACAGCTGACATGCAATCTACTGGTCTAAGACAACTAGTAATTCAGGAAGATGACAGAGATTTTAATTTTTCTTATTATAATGTTATTTATTTTAAACAAGAATACATAACAATTTTCATTTAATTAGGAAATATCAGTAACATACCCAAAGAGTTGCAATTCTTCAGAAAAAATCAGCACATTTTCCTTTCTGAATTTTATAACTATAAATATTTGGATTAAAGTAAATACTGTAATACTGTAACAATAATAACATTAATTGCATCAGTTAGCTTTTTCTGGAACTCAACAGTGAAAACAATTATTTGAAACACGGTATATTTACAATTCTACATTGTTCAACCACAGTTAAAAGTATATTTATATCAATTTTAGAGAGATGAAAAACTGTATGGGATACCTGTTTTACCTAGATATTCTAGTACAGGTTCAGTACAGTACAGAATCTTGCTTCTGCTCAAGACAATTCGGACAAGTATTTTCAGTAACAAACAATAAACTTACCTTATGCATCCATATTCTTCCTTTCCTTATAATATGTGTTAGTCTATCCACGCACACTCTGTGAAGTGGCAGGTAGAAGCCAAGTTCACTTTGTGGAAGTATAATTGATAGTCCATATGTGCTTCTGTCTCCATTCCAGTTTCCATCAAAGATTAAGGACACAATTATTACTCTTTTTTCTGCCAAGACGAAGAACTTCACATCTATTGCACCACTTTCTGCATTCCGAAGTATTTCTCCATTCAGGGTGTGGTTAGCAAGGAAAGTTATTTCACCATCACTGAGAAGTACCTGTTCTGTCTTTGGGGCCCAGATATGCCGCACTCGGGGGCCGAGAATATTGTCCCAGTAAGCAAAAGTGGCAGCTAATAAAGGTGACTCGCCATTCAAAGAGATCTCTGTTTTAGCAACTGCAGGAGATGGTGGTGGACAAAGAGCTGACATGCCTGCTTCCTCTCTCATGTATAACCAAAATGCTTACATTACCTAAAAAAACAAAGTTTTCATAGAAGGAAAAACAAAATTACAGCAGCACTCACTATGATCTCAACTTTTTTTGCTTCCAATTAAGACTTCAAGAGACAACCTGAGGTTTCACTGCAGACTTCATTCAAGAAGGAAACATATATGCATACCTTCCACAGAGCAAACACCTTTCAAAAGGTTAGTCACCCAGACCTCAAATAGCCTTTACTCACTATGCAAGTATGATGAGTCTGCACATCACTCAATTTGTCTAACAAAACTGACAGTACAATAAATATATCCATTACATCATGGTGACACACAGAGTGTTGTCATGCATGATAAATGCTCAGGACTTTATAGAACATACTGATGGAAAATCCTTCACATTGCATAGACAAAAATCGTTAAATATTTTCCCCTGGCATTTCCAAAACCTCTGCAGCTTCCCCATTTTGATGAGGCTGCAGAAAATATCAGGAAGCTTCATATTTCCTACAAGCTATGCTAAAGTTACAGGAACACATTAAATAAAAAAGTTTCATGCACAAATTCAGTCCAGAGTGGAAAACTATAAGGAGCCAAAATGCCATTTTTGAAACCAAACCTCACATGACCAGAGAGCTCAGCTGTCCTTTCCTCTCTGCCTGCAGCACTCCACATGACAGCGGAAGGGAACCCACCCAGTACCACAGGAGGAGCAGTAACACCCATCTCACTGGCACAGTTCTAACTCACCAGACCTGCGGCACCATTTCATATGTATGAACTTTTTTTTTTTCCTCTCTGAGTGTCCCCAATAGGACCGTCCAGGTGCATCTCCTCACAGCAGGAGGGCAAAGCACCTTTCTTCTCCCCAGCTGCTTCTCGGGCCCGACCGACCCGCACTAGGCCATGCCCTGCCGGCCGGCCCGGCGGGCAGAGGGGAAGGGCCGTTCGAGGCACTTCATGCGACTGCACTGCTTTTGGGGAACATGAAAGCGTCAGTCACCGCTGCTCACGGGCTGACGAGACTCTCCCTCACCACAGCCTTTCCCGAGAACCTGGCTGCTGCCCACGCAGGCAGCTGCGGCCCCGGCCCCGGCCCCCGCCCCGAGAGCGAACCCCGGCGCTCCCAGCCTGGGCGAGGCCCGTTCCGCACC